ATATCAGATTCTATTTAACTATCTAGTTATGGCTAATTATTGTTCTAGTACTTAAGTTGCTTAATTTTGGGTTGAGGATGCAAGTTTATATTTGGTCGATTGCAGACTAGTCAAGTAAGATCTCATTATAGTTTAAAATGGAAGCTGATTACTGATTTATTGAGTTTATATTGTGATATCTGTTTCATTTCTTAAAACTTATTTGTATTCTTGATCTGTTTGTTCCGAATAATCTCATCTTGACAAACAGTAATTTATTGTCGATAATGTAACAAAACCTGAGGAACTGTTCTGAAGGTACTGCAGATATTTCTTTGTATTGTTAATTATACTTATACTTTTGTCTATTTAAATATTTATAAGAAGTTAAGAGTTGTTTAATAAAATGGGAAAACATTTTCTGCTCATTTAATTTTTTTTTTTTTTATATATATATTTATCAACATTTAATCCTTTCCTATTTCCAGTAGAATGGTTGATGCCACTTATTTATGAATGATACGTGCAATCTTTTTGAATTCTTATGATCAAGTTTATCTTGTAAGATACAGTGTTACTTACCTTAGATTTTAAGACCCAAATGTTCGTGATTTCTCTATTCCAACAATGACGGAGCATCATTATTATAGTGGGCCGTAATTATAAGCATTTCATTCAATGTTATCGTATTGCTGCCTGATGTATTTTATAAACATAATAATTATTTCATAAATATAATTTTTTTTTTAACCTTTCAGTAGGGCTTATAATTAAGATTTATTATATTGAGTGATTTTGATGATGTGATTTCAATCTGTAGAAAACTTAGCTTTAAGAATACAATATATTTTACCAAAATTTTATACATTTCAATGTAGTTTTCCAGGCTAGTCAAACATGGTTTAAGTGTGTGTATAGTTTACAAAATGAAAGTTACAACTGGTTTTATTTGACCAGATTTAATAAAGACTGTTCAAAGCACATGTTATGTATATTTTTCTTTTTATAGGTTTAGTAATTTGTTTAAAATTGGTTTCTTAATGCTCCTCTTGTACTCCATCCAAACCATATTAAGTTTGATAGAAACTTTTTATGATGTAATCATATTGTACAAAATAAGTATAAAATCAGTATTGATAGATGTGTTTGGGAATTCCATGTTAAATTTTGTCGTGATAACTAAACATAAAAATTATATCCCTTTTAATCAATCAGAATATTATGGATTTGTTTTCTTTATGTATGTTAACATACATAATGTTATCAAAAGCCTTTTTTTAATGTACGCTTTCTTATAATAGCATATCTCACATCAAATTTATATCTTGCCTGTTAGTTATTTAAGACATAACTTATATTATCTATATTATAATATTGATATAACGCATTGATTCATAAATCTATTAACGGATTCAATTATTTTCAAATTTTTGGGACCATAGTCAGTAGTCAGTTTGTTCATGTACATCTCTAATGGTAATTGTTTTTTAGATTGTTACCTGATTTCCTTCCTGTAGGACTTGATGTGTTATGTTGTCAAATTATGAATTCAAAACTAATACAAAAAAAAAATTAAATTTATAGAAAGCTATTTTTACATATCTTCTTAATAAATCTATTTATATTATCGATATATTTGCGTGCGCATGATTTAGTGAGTGAATAAATAGTACAGTATGTTTATTAGTATTTAGTTTATTTTAGACTATTTTTATAGATTTGTTTTACTGAAAGTTTTTTATATCAGATAAAAAAAAATATTATATTTCTATTTAGTTGTACCTGCCGAGAGTTGGTTGTTGTTTATTGATAAAGGCATTCCAATTGTGTCCGTTTTATATTTTAAAATAAAATATAAGGTTGTTGTTATTACATGTTTTTTATTTATTTTTTTCTCCTTTCGTATGATGTAATGTTTATTTTATGTGTTATTTTTTTTTTTTTTAATCTCATCTTTGATATTTATTATCTGTTTATATCATAGCATCTACATATTAAAAGCAATCCATGCTAATTGTTGACTGTTAATTGAAAAACAAAGTCTTATCCTTGCAACCTATTTAATTTATGTACACAACATATACTTCCCCAAAAAGAGATTGAAAAAAAAGTAATGAGATGGATGAGAATTCTATTAAGAATAACTCATAAAGTACAACATTTTTGGTTCATGAAACCTACAAGTATTCTAAAGCTTCCTAAATTCCCTACAAAATTAAAAATCATCAAAATCAAAAAGAATCATGTCCAATAAGATATTTTTATTGCATTTTTTTTTTCAGTTAATATTTTTTAGAAAAGCTCTATTATGGCAAGTTTATATTTGGAATATAGCTATAGTATGAGTACAATGCTGGAATGAAACAATTTGTAACCACCGAAGAAGCAAAGTGGGTTCAATTATTGTTTTAAGGAGAAACCAAATTGAGCTTGGTATTTGGCACCTGAGAAATCTCTAAATCTCTAATATGAATTTTCATAGCAGATTTTTACCGAATAAGCAAACTTGGTTAAAAAAAAAAATCCTCAAAAAGTACACCAATGGCACTGTTTTCTTTTGTAATTATGTATGAAGGTCAAAGTACGAATACATAAAAGTACGAAACAAAAAAATGTCGCAAAAATGCAAATTCATTTATGTTTTTCTCAATTGTCAATAATGATTATGGTCTCATTTCCACCACTTTAGGCGAACACCAGTTTAGTTAGAACTGGATCTATTCATTTAAATTCTTTAAGATCATAAAACATAGTGTGAATGTGATCTCAGAACACTATTATAAATGTCCTTTGAGACAGATTGTACTATTTTCAATAAGTTATATTTCAGTAAAGATTATAAATTATCATTTAAGGTTAGAATATCAAAAGTGTCAAATATAATCTCTATCGATTCTTTGTTACAAATCATTGATAACTGAACAACTTTTCTAAGGAAAAACAAACAGGTTTACTTTGTGATTTGGTTCTTAGAATTATTATTATAGATAGAATTTTGATATACTCATCACATTTTGAGTGGGAGAATTATTTCTTCTCCCTCCTCCCCCTCCCCATCAGGACACTCAATAAACAATTTATTTATTAGCATATTATAGTTGTCTTTAAATTTAATTTATCTTGTCAACTATTAAAACTATAACTTATACTTAAGTGAAGAATAATTCTTTCTGGATAAATTTTGTTCACCTGATTTGTTTTTGCATTTTCTTCCTCCAGTAATTTATGTATGAATGCTAACTGTTTAAAACATCAATTAAAATTGATTTTCATAAAACTTTTAGTTTTTCAGTCCTTTTAAGAAATTTGGTTTTTAATATATTTTTTTGTTCACAAAGTTCTAAAATTTATTTTAATGTTTAATAAAATAAATATCAGATTTATATCATTGAATATGGGCAGCTTGGATTAGCATATTGGTTATTATGCTCATACATAAAGCAAAAGTTTTAAAAAATGTGTGCAGTTAATAAGATTTTTTGTCACTATTATTCATCATTAAAATGGATGGTTTTTGTCGTCACATTATAATTAAATGTGGTATCAGGATACGATAGAGAGATTTGATAAAATGGTTGTCAAACAAGTTAATTTTATATTTTGCTCTGAAAGTGAATGTTCAGTAAGTTTACTTGTATTAAATACATAACGGCCTGCATGTACTCTCTGACCACCTGATAACTTGAAGAGTATGAATTCAAGTCTTAGTTCTGGAGGCAATTTAATACTCCACCCGCTCTCTTGGCTTGGAGAAACCCCCATAAGGTGAGGTAGGAGAGAAAAGGAGAAAAACAACTATTTATATTAATAATATAAATAATTCATGAAAAAAAATTTACAAATATTCATTCTTTGAATGAAATCCAAGATTTAGATACTTTCACTCTTGTCATTCTAACCCCCTTGAAGTTACATTAGTGGAATACTTACTGGCCCTCTTTATTATTCGGCAAGATAAAGAAAAGAAAAAAAAAATTATGATCTTCACATAGCTAACTAGTTTCATAATTTTCATTTGGACTAACTCAAAATAACCGGAACTAAATTATTCAAAGTAGCATGTTCAAAATAGAAATTTATTTTATTATAGCAAAACTTGAATATATTACTCAAGGGGATTTAATATTTAACAAACAGCGTACGATAGTGTAAAGTTAGAAAAAAAAAGGGATTAAGTATATATCTCAAGTTTTAAGTTATGTTTTTTCAGATGTTCAATTTTAACTATACCAAACTTTTTTAGGTTATTGTTAACTTATTTTGTTATGTTTATTCAATAAATATTCGTAATATCCCATTTTTCTGTTACACTCTGATATTACAAGATGATATAGTGTTATAATACAAAAATAAAATCTACAGAGCTCGCTCATAATCTTAATCTTTTTTCACCAAGACTCCTCACAAATGCGTATTATTTCAGATTAGTTCTTTATTTGAATCAAAGTACATATTTCTGTCTCTGTGAAGGTATAACATTATATTTAGAGGATTAAAACCTTAAGGTACCTCATTGTGAAGTCTTTTTTTCTTATCCAGTAGCCAATAGATTAATCTTTATTCGATTCATTTATTTTATTTGTATAACATTTTACTATTTATAACTTTGTGTGATCACTCTTACTGTATCATAATGACCCGTGTCGATCATACACAGAGAATATCTAGTTATATAATACTGATTTGCTCTAATGGTTAGCAGCTAAGTAGTAATATTTTAATTTTTGTTGCTTCCTTAGAGAAAGTTGAAAGTCTTGTGTTTTCTGTCAATAGTTTAAAAGATACTCTATTCATAAAGTAAGCTTTGTTAGTATAAAGCTAAAAAACTGAAAATACTTTTTATATTTTTCTTTTTTTGCTTGTGATTGATCTTTGTATTTTGTCATATAAAGTTTGGATATTTAGTTAGGATTTGATGCACTCATCTAGGATGTATAATAAGGTATAACTATCAAGAACATTCAATATGTTGCTTTGCTTTTATGTTTTGATTCTACAATTTCATTAAATTTTAGGTGCATGGGCTGTTTAATATAATAAATTAACTTATTGCATAGTTGCCAACATCATGTTGAAGTAGGAATACGATGCCTTGATCAACTGTAACAAAATAAGTTACAATAATAAATTTATGTTTTTAAATATAATTAGTATAATTTTCCTGATAAAAGTAATTATGGTATTCTAAAATCATATCTTGAAATTTTAGTGATTATTTTTTTCTATTTATCGGAGTTCAAACTTGGTGCATTACTTAAAAGTAGAAACAAAATTTTTATTAAACTACATGTTTAGTTTTCATAAATTATATATTTTCCAAATTGGTACATAAATATCTGTCGAAATGGCAAGAGATTTATTTGTTTAAAAACCTTTTTATTTTGCATGTTTGATGATTTGGATAAAAGTAATTTTCTTTTTCTTTTTTAATTATGCAAAATTATTTTTATTTTAATTTAAGAGTAAATGTCTGGAGATTAGAAACAATCTTTTAACAGAAAACGTGCATACTAAAATGTTCAGCACATTTTATTTCTGTGGCACCTGCTGCGCATAGTACGTTAATTGCTAAAACCATATTAATGAAAAAAGTTAATTGAAAGTTTGGAATTTTCACAGGTGAAAGTTCAATTTTTGAGTTTCAATCCATGATATACTAAGGAATGTTCATCTCTGTAATAGCAGCATAATTTAGCACATTAGACACAAAGAAAGAGAGAAAAATTAGCTTTCTGATGCTACCCATAAAAATTCACAAAATTGCACTTAACACACTTTTCACTGATTTAATGTTGAATGTTCTTTTTCATTAAATTGATATGAAGCAAAATCAGGTATTGAATATGTCTACTGTAATTATTCGTTTTTTTAAAAACCTCTCTATTAGTTTTTATAAACTTAAAATTCATTACTATAGTTTCTTAAAAATACCTTTTAAATTAAATAAATAATTATTTAATATGAACATGTAAAAAAATTGACCATGCTTTGGTATATCGATACTTTACTTACTGCCATATATGCTGCCAAATCCACTTTTTGTCCCGTAAGCATTCTCATAAGCAATGGCTTGTTGGCTCTGATCATCATTATCATTAAAATAGTCTGGCATTCCTTGGGTAACCTGTACCATTCCATTACATAAACAATGTCCCCAACTGACAGGCTCTAGAAAAGGTAACATTTTTGTTTAATTTTTATTTTCTTTAAATGAAAAAAAATTAACATAGTGTTAATAAATTTTATTTAATTGTGCAGTTGGCAAATATAACTCCCTGATGATTATAGTTTTTTTTTTTTTACACACTATTTAACATGTCAGGAAATGTTCTTTCCATCATCAGAAACATATATTATTTTTGGTGCTTGGTCCATCTCTTTTTTTTTATCTGTGTTCCTTTTGTCAAGATATAAAAGTTGTTCGTTAATTTTACATATTTGGGAGTTATTATTTAATTTTATTATTGACCGAAAATTCATTTCTTCTCTATTTGCTTCTATCACTCTCTGTTTGCTTCTATTACTCTCTATTTGCCACCCACAGCAGTAAAATAAGAATTCTAAAAATTCATTGCCAACAGTAGTGTTAGTTATCAATCAATAAGGAATTTTTTTAAATCAAGGATTGATTATTAGTGATTTTTTTATAACCCTCTAACTGGAGACTGCAGATATCTCACTTTTAAAAAAAAAAAAACTTCCTTGTTTAATTAAGTTTAAGTTTAAAACTTAAACTTGTAAATTAAATTTAAGTGCCTATTAATTAAATTGAGATTTGTTAAAGAATAAGTTGAAATTCTAGTCGAGTAAAAACTTTATGTGATTTGATATTCTGTCTTCTCAAAGTACATGTTTTTTTAGCAAAAATATCAAACAATTATTACAAACCTTTAATTTTTTTTTTTTTTTTTGTGACCTGTGATTTATTGTGATAGAACTAATTATGAAAATACACTTATTATTAATTTAAAATTATGTAAAAATATAAAACTTCAACAAAATGTGTTATTTAAAGCCATAATGAACTAGTATTTTTTAAACATCTCTATTATGAGAATTGATCCTCATAGTATCAAGTGACCAACTAAATTTTCCTAATTCTAAAATTTTCATTACAATAATTGGACCTTTAAAATGTTCTTGTAGTTTGGACAGTTTACGCCGCTGAATATACTGAAAATTATTGCAAAATATCTGTACTCTCTCCCACCAATGCGACAGCACAGATCTCTTTTAAAGTTTATTAAAAGTGATTGAAAAAAGATCTATGCCTCATTATAAACCCAATATCTCTATGTTGGGTTATCTACATGTTGGGTTGCTCTATCTCATTAGAACACATTTATAGGACACATAATTATTTCTAGTCCATGTTTCCTCTTACTTTTTAATATTAAAAGAACTACCAATAAATAAGTTTTCTATCTCTGCTACTGAAACCTGACACTGATTTATGCAATGTTTATGCTACTCAGTTAATGTGGAAATCGGATGAAATGATTGATATAGAATACTATTTTGTTGCCGGTTCCACAAAATCATTATTGATTTTTAGAATATTTTTTAACAAAAGAAACATTTTTTGATCATGATTTGTTAAATGATCAAAAATGTTAATCAAATTCAACCTATAAATGGTATCATCTTCATCGAACTACGTCAATTTTAAGGTGATTGGGTGTAATTTTTACTGTAAGTAGAAGTTCTATAAATTTAATCTCTTAAATATCTCCGTAATCATTAAAATTATCCTAAAATATGATTGAAATAATGTTTAAAGAGATTTTGAAGTACTTTAATTTTTCATAGGATAATCTTTTTTATAAGTCTCATAGTTTTAGGGATATTCACAAAAAAACTCTGTTTTCTGTCCTGTCAAAACCCGGTATAGGAAACTTCAGGAAATTTTATCAGTTTTTAAAAAGGGAGTACTACATCTATTCTTTTTTTTATGAGTTTAACTTTTTATTATCTTGTATTAATTCAGTTGATGAACCTTTTCCTTAAGCTATGATTCGATTTGTGCAAAGATAATGCGTTATTTTAGAAAATTCTAAGTGGCGGAGTTCTTATTTTAGTATAATTGATCTATATTCTTAAGTTTTGGATTCTTACAAGTTTATCCAACTAGCTACATAAAAATGAGACATATCCCGAGCTCAGATGACCTGTAAATTTAAGTTTGTTAATAGGATTTCACTTTTTAAAAATGAATATATCAGAACTTACCTGCTCTGCTGTTTCTTCTGCTAACCAACACATAATGTATAGGAAAATTATTTGAATAAATGTTATTCCAACAAACTTTATTTTGAGTGATGTATTTTCCTAAAACAAAGTAAGATTTCTGGTCATTAAACTGAAATGAACCGATTGATATTCAAAGCAATTTCTTTATTGTTATTATTGAGAAAGAATATCATATTCTGGTACAAGAATACCCTATGTAAATCTCTATGAAACAATAATGTAGATGTACAATTGTAAGGTCATTTTACTGGCATAAAACAGTAATTAAAATAATTAATAATAAAAAGTGTAGAATAATAAAATATATTAAAAGGAAGTAATTAAATAAAACAATGAATTCTAGATAAATGAAGTTGTCATGCTTACTGGTTTGTGCTTGTAAGCAATTTAAATGATCAGAGTGAAATAATTATAGGGACCACTTAAATCTCAAAACTTTACTCCTATACAGGGTTTCATGTAAGTAGATGGAAATTTTTATATTAAGGATAGCAGATCTCAAAGCATGAAAAAAAATTTATATAAACAATGGGCCAATTCTCAGCAGGGAAGTAGGAAATCCAAGTTTAGTATTTTTTTAAGTAAGTCATGCTCTTTGATGAATAGGAAGCGATAAATAAATAAATATTTAATTTAAGTAAATAACATTTTTTCACTGTAAACTAGATAAAATTTTCTTCAAATGTAAATAGAATTTGTCATTGTTAAAACCATTTAAAGAGGACTTTTGAGTGGTTAAACTTGCTGTCGTAAATTATTGGCATTTTTTTTTTTTTATCATTACCCAACTATACTACCTGATTCCATTTTACATTTTACTAAGAAATATTACAATCTGTCTCAGTTAAGGACACTTATAATAGAGTTTAGAGATTTACATTCATACTGTATATACAGAAATATAAATAAATAAAGTAATAACAAAAGAATAAGCAAAAAAAAGAACAAAAGAAAAATATATATATTTACACATAAGTAAGTAAAAATAAAAATGAAAGTAAAACAGAGTTATAATAATTTTTTTTTTTATAAATATTTGTGTTGTAAAGTATTTATGAAATTGTGTTTTTCTCCCACATCTCTGTCATAGAAATTTACCTGTATTTATAAGTAATAAATTCAATGTTTCTAGTCCTAAAATTTACTCTTAAAACTAGTATATACAGAAATATAAATAAATAAAGTAATAAAAAAATAAGAAGAAAAAAAAGAACAAAAGAAAAAAATATATATATACACATTAGTAAGTAAAAATAAAAATAAAAGTAAAACAGAGTTATAATAATTTTTTTAATATAAATATTTGTCATGTAAAGTATTTATGAAATTGTGTTTTTCTCCCAGATCTCTGCCATAGAAATTTACCTGTATTTATAAGTAATAAATTCAATGTTTCTAGTCCTAAAATTTACTCTTAAAACTAGAAAACACAGCTGATTGCTTCGATTATTTTCATAAAAATATAAATCTTGGAGCTAGAAACATGAAATTTGTCCCTTATATATACAGATCAACTCCTTTGACTTGGGAGAAAAATACAGTTTCGTAAACTCTTTACATGAAAACTATTTAACAAATCATGATTATTATTCTTAATTAATTAATTAGTACTGTTGGATAATGATAATTCATTTAATAACATGAAGCATATTAAATGAAGAAGTTTTCCTAAAAGTGGGGTATATGTAATATAGTTGGATAATGATAAAAAAAAAAAAAATTCCAATAATTTATGATTTTTTTAAAACAGAACTTAGCCACGTTTACCTGCTCAAAAGTCCCCTTTGAATAGTTTTAACAATAACAAATTCTATTTACATTTGATGAAAATCTAGTTTACAGTGAATAAATTGTTAATTACTTAAATTAAATATTAGTTCAGTTATCGCTTCCTATTCATTAAAAAAAAAACACTAGATTTCCTGCTTTTCTGCTGAGAACTGGCCCATTGTTTATATGATTTTTTTTGTAGGCCTTGAAGTTTGCTATTACTCCCATAAAAATTTCCCTCTACTTACGGGACACTCTGTATGTATTCGAAAGATTGATCGTTAAGGAGATGGAGGAATAGTTTTTAAATATAGTGTTTAAATATGGTTAAGGTAATGTTTTGTGTATAGATGTGGACAAGGAATTCTAGAACAAAGTAGCATGTATGAAAAACGATTTTTTGAAGCAAGATGTTCTATGTTAATGGATACAAAGATTTGTGGATTGGAATCTCATGTTAAAAAAGCACACGGTAGAAAAAAGGAGGAACAAATCGAGGATGTAAGCAGTCTCTTTGATTTTAAAGGATAAGTAAAGGTATACTCCAAGGATTAATAATTATTAATTATCATATTATTTTTTATTTTTAAATGAAAGATATTTTTAGGTGATTTATAATTTTTTTTATTGAAATGTACGTTTTATATATTCTCAATTTTTCCTTTGATAGTGGTCTTTCCAAGTTATCTAGAATGTTCTTTATATTTTTATTTATTTATTTTTATAAAATTGAATGTAGAGTCCTAATACAAGGAGAAGTATCTGAAGCCTTCAAAGTTCGAACGTGCTTAAGGCAGAGAGATGGACTTTCACCAATATTGTTCAACTTAGCCCTGGAGAAGGTAATAACAGCAACATCACAGGAAAATGGAAGGGTCCATGTTAGAATGAATCATAAAATGCTAGGATATGCAGATGATATAGCTGTCCTTGGAAGTAATCAAGAAGACATTGAGAAACTCGTTGCAACACTGATAAGAGAGGCAGAGCAGATCGGTCTTCAAGTAACTGAAGACAAAACAAAATGTATGATAATAAGCCGAAAATTCCAAACCAATAAGAGGATCTCTGTAGAAGGAAAATCATTCCTGAGAGCAGAAAAACCCAAATACTTCGGCTCCACAATAACCTCAATGAATTACCAACTCTTCTCCATCTCAAAGATATTGAAATCCTGAAAAATCTCAAGAAATATCAAACTAACGGGGTACAATGCTATGATAAAGGCAGTTCTAATATATAGCTGTGAGACCTGAACACTAAGCTGCACCCTAGAAAAAAGTGTTGAAAGATTTGAGAAGAAAATCCTCCGCACGATAACTGGAGCGATCTCGGATCCTGGTACTAACACATGGAGAAGAAAGACCAACAAAGAACTGTTTACAGTAACTGGTCAATCAATATTCCATGATATGAAGGCATGGAGGTCAAGATGGGCGGGGCATGTAGTTCATAGTAATCCCCCTGGAAGTCTGTGTAACAATGAATGCCTCAATAGAAGGCAAAAGAACAAATGGAAGGCCAAAAAGCAGATTGATAGGTAGCATATGAAATAGCCCAAGAGAGGCAGAGATGGAGCAGGCTTGTTAAGGCGGCAAAAGATCTACATGGTCTGTAATGCCAACAGAAAAAACAAAAAAAAAATGAAGATGATAGCACTTTGTTGTATTACATTGTGTATTAAGTTTTGTATAACATAAATGAACATATCACTGTTTCGGTTCAACTATATAGTATCTCAAAATAAGGTCAATTTTGAGATGTGCTTATTAAGAGCAATTTCTGTGTAGTTCATCATTATATTTAAATAAAGTAGTTGAAAAATAAATGTAAATAATATTTAACAGCTGTAGTAGTGTGTTTTCAAGGACACTAAATTCACTTACTTATATATGGTGTCTTCATTGTGTGCCTATATATTAAATTAAATTAGTTTTTAATTAGATAGATCATTGGAAAATAAAAATATCAACCTCTATCCTATTTATTTATTTAGTTAATTCCTACAAGGACATACATTTCTAAAAACCTCAAATGTGTAGTCAATGTTACCATGTTTCAGGGCGAGGATACATTTGAAATAAAAAAAAAAATTTAAATCCAAAGTACAAATATGTTTATTTTCTAAAATAATTGCACATATATATTTTTTTCATTTTTAGAATTGGCATACATTTTACGTGATGCACATAAAATGCGATGAAGAATGGTGTTTGTTTTTTTATTTGTGAACCAAAAACGAATCATTTTGTGGACCAAAAATTTTTTAATAGAAATATGTTTGAATTTATAAAGTTTTTGTTTGAACTTTGGTAAGTTCCCACATTTGATGTGACAAGATATTGAGTGATCACTATTGTTAATAATGTTTTTGTGATTTGTTGTTATAGATAACTTGAGAATGAACAAAGTTGTTCGAAATGTTGTTAAAAGTTGAATAAATTCTTATATTATAGGGGCTTATATATCCTTGAAGAAATCATATATATGTAAATAATTATTTCAAGATTTATTGTTGAACTGCATAGATTTTGTTCTAATATAATAAAAAAGATGCATATTTGAAAATTAAGAGTTGGATATATAGTTGACTGTTGAAATTGTAAGGATGAAAAATGGTCAAGATGTGCAGTAAAAAAGTTATGTTTATTGAGTTTGCCAATATTTCAGCCCAAAAATGTGAGCCATCACCAAGGCTAAAAATTCAAAAATACAAAATACGTTGGCAAACTAATTAAACATAATTTTTTGATTACAGATCCTGACCATTTTTCATCCTTATAATTTCAAAATTAACTTTTTGTAGATATTACACTGGGCCAGTGACATTCATTATTTACGAATTTACTCAAATATGTTTCTTGGGTTTAATTAACTTTTAACATATTCAATTAACTAAAAACATTTTCTATTTTAATCAAGAAAATGATGTTTTGTCATTAAATAAATAAATTAAGTTTGGGAACTCTTTATATAATTTAAAAAACAGCATTTCTTTTCACAATAGCATTCATCAGTTTTAAGTCAAATGTTAATATTTATCCTACATCCTACGCCCTGAAGACGACCTGCAAAGTGGGTCGAAACGTAGGGAAAATTAAAATAAAATAATTACTATATTTTAATTTAGTATTTATCTGACTGCACCCCCGACTAACTCCTTCTCATGTTAATATTTATCTTTTAAATGCTTACGGAAATCAAGGCGAATCCTGTACAAGTACAGACAACAAGGCCTGTTAGGAAAATAACAAAATACACAATCTCTATAAGCAATTCTCCTTTATGAAAATACCTGAAACAGAAATATATTTAAGTTATTAAGAATTGTTAGGTAAAATTAGTTGTTGATGGATATATATAAATTTAGTAAGCAGTACCCTTATTTAGGTAACTAGTTTTTTTAGTTATGAAATAAAATTAAAAAATAAATAACAAAAATTATGTTATATAGATGGGTATATAGTTGGCTGTTGAAATTATAGGGATACAAAATTGTGAGTATGTGCAGTCGAAAATTTCTTAATTCACAAAAATGAATATTCCGAAAAATTCTTTCAAAATTTTCATCAGATGTCAAATTTTTTGGACGGGCTATCGTGCTATTAGGACACTGTTTTCGGAAACCCATTTATGTCCCGAACAAAGGTTGTTGGCCCACTGGCGATGGTAGAGTGACATTTATACAGTGGTACTGTTGTTATATCTCCTCGTTTAGCTTTACATATTTATATTCAGTTTGCTAACTGTATATATGAGGAAGTTCCTAAACTCAACGCTAATCTCATCGATGGAAATGGATGAAACGATGCCATCAATCAGCTCAATGCTTAGTTTAAGAACTTATACTATTTATATCTATTTTGAAATTCAACAATTCTATAGATAGGTATTTCTTTATATAATTTTTATTTTTCAGGTGTTTAGTAACGCTACGATCTATTAATTGGAAAATTATATCTGAAGATTTTAATTTTCCAAGGAATCAATTTAATTATAAAATTTTAGATCTAAAAAAGTATAATACTCCTTACTTACGTATGCCTTAGCTTACTATGGTTAGGCATGAATTAGATATACCTAATTATAGCGGAATGGTGCTCGGCGCACATTCTAGTACACTTGACATAACATCGGCTCAATATTTCTGGCTGAACAATTCGGTCACCATAATATTTTTGACTCATAGCCATTTCATATGCCCTCTCTTCTATGTTGTTCATTGCAAACTTGAGTATGTCTATTTCGGTCACCACATGACTGTAGATGCAGTGCAAGAAGAATAGGGAAGAGAAGACCATGATGCCTATATAGAACACGATGCACTCCTGCCATATGAAGACGGCGATATGGACCGGGTAGCTGTCAATGGTGAAAGGGAAGTAGCAAGGAAAGAGCAAGAGGATATCTTCGTTGTTGAAGTACCTCTGGCAGATCGCCAGGGTGTTCATCAGCATGAGGAGGTAGACCATGCTCCATACGATGTATTTGAACATATCCTTATAGTTCGTACGGACAACTTCTTTGACTTCTTCCATCTTTTTAGACATCATTTCACTCTCGTAGTGGTAACTCGAGCTAGGATCTGAGGAAAAAAAAGTTAATATCTTTTAATAAGTTTTAATGTCTGATGTGTGATTTAAGCACCTCCTTGCAAGATTCGTTTTGTCTACTTACCATTCAGGAGAAATTTGAACACATCACGGTATATGTAACCTATGAATAGAGCTATACAGACGTCCAAGGTGAGTATGGCATGATGGACTATGTTGGATACCTTCTCTATCTGATCCAAGTATTGATAGATGGAGTACCCAAGGAGGCACAAGGCTACCAACTTGTTAGCAATGACTGCGGATACGTATGGGAGGTGCCCTTTGAAGACAAACCCCAACCCTGCGAGTGAGAGGAAAATTTTCGTTCCCCTTAGGCTCTCTTCTATATTTTTCAACCATACTTTGCCCATCCTGTAATAACATTATAAATCTATCTCAGTTAAAATATTACTTCATATTTTTTTTTTTAAGTTGTAAAATGTTATTCCATCAAACCTTGCTTATCGACTTTATTAAAGTCCGTAATAGAGATGGACGCCCCATGAACTCTATTGAGAGATTGGCAAGTGTTTCAGGATGGCTTGACAAATAGATCTCTTCAACTCTTGGCAGTTTGTATCATTGTCATTTCATCTCAGAAAAGAAATGGTTTCTCTATCTATATTTTTTTCCCAGGAAGGGCCTGAAATGTACTCATAATACCACTAACGGATCAGGATTTAACTTTTTTTGGGGGACTTCAATCCGAAAGGTTTTTTCTAAATAAATATAAAGAAAATTACTAAAGAAAGAAAGTAACTACCTATATGAAATGATGTTTAAGTGATTCTTGAAGTACTATTAAATGTAATTACACGAACAATAATACTTTTATAGATAATTTTTTAATATTTTGTTTTCATAAGACATGCTTATATTTTACCATTTTGTGTGGAGGGCTTCAACCTGAAAGCATCCATATCTAATCGATCATAGGCGCAGATTTCGGAGGAGGGAGAGCGAGAGGAGCGACACCTCCCTCAACAAAAATAGAGAGAGTGAAAGAAAAGGAAAAAGGATATAATACAAAATAATAGACATAAAGGTAATAATAGACTATATCTAAAAGATATTATTTTTTACCTTGTATCCATCTATATCTTCAAATTTTGTATACTGTAATTTTCTAGGTTTTTTCTCCATTACCCAAACAAGTCAGCAAATTCCCAATACCTGCCCTTACCCTGATTTTCCAGTTCTAAGTGAAACTCCTAGTTGAACACACCTTTAAGTCTCTTATTTTTATTCTTCTAATTTTATTTATTAATTTTTTGGTTTTCTTTTCTTTCTCCACATTCCTTTATGTCTGTTATTTCGTATTATATCCTTTTTCCTTTTCTTTCAATCTCTCCTGTTGATCTGTAGAAATATATTCACATTTGCATATATTATATATTACACTACAACAATTGTTACCATCTATTCACTTCAGTTTAGGATCTTGTTACTTAGCTTACTCTGTTTATATTTTAATGTACTTACTGTTTATTATTTTAATAAGCTTATTCACATTGTTTATAATTTTTGTCTAAATATTATGTAACTTCCACAATTCTCTATCTTTTTGTATCTTGTCCGTTCTAGCCCTGAAGAAGACCTGCAAGTCGGGTCGAAACGTTAGCTTTTTATAAAATAGTTTTGCCACTATTTAGCCTATTTATGACCACCACCCCGGGCCATCTCCTTCCTTTATAATGCAACATAATAACTTTTTTTTTTATAAATTTATCTAAATTAAAATATTACTTTATAATTTTTTTTTTTGTTTTAAGTTGTAAAATGTTATTCCATCAAACCTTGTTTAAATTCCGTAATAGAATGGATGCCCCATGTAACTTCACTCTTGGCATCTAATCATATGTAATCAAAGCATACTAATTTTATTTGAATATATTTTCGGCATTACTGAAAGGAAATCTGACTGTAAGATTGTATATTTCTCTTTCTGAAGCCCCCCAAAATTAAATCCTGGATCCGCTAGTGGATTAAGCTCAATTTTTGTAAAAAAAAAAAATGATATTTTTTATCCTATCAAGTAAAAGTACCACCGTTTTCAACAAAAATGACTTATTAATTGTACCAAAGCATTTATTTCTTGTTGATTTCAATAAACCCAATTGCCTAAACATACATTTTATTTATTTAAAAAGTTAGAAAAATACTGATTTTTCCAATATTTTTTCGGTAAATCGGTTATAAACTGTATTTTTCACTCAGATCTCCATTTTAGGTATCGATCCGAATTTATAAGTGGCAAACTAAATGTTCCTGACCCTTATATTAACGGTTTAATTTAAACAAATTAAATTGAATATTTAATAGTTGACTGTTGCATTATAAAGGAAGATGGTCCGGGGTGGCGGTCATAAATAGGCTAAATAGTGGCAAAACTATTTTATTTAAAGCCAACGTTTCGACCCGACTTTGCAGGTCTTCTTCAGGGAGGTGTGTTCACCTAGGAGTTTCACTTACAACTGAGTTACTTTAAAAAAAAATTAAAACATTCAGCAAGATTTTTTTAAAATTTTAATCATAGATTTTAGAATCAGAAACTTTTATTTTGTCACTCACAAATACAGATCAATTCCTATAATAGATATATGGGTGAAAAACACAGTTTATAACCAACTTATGCGAAAAATATTTGAAAAATCAGTATTTTTCGAATTAATTGTTTTTTATAAATAAAAAGTGTGTTTAGGCAATCGGGTTTATTAAAATACACCCCAGATCACGGAAAATACAAGAAATAAAAGCTTTGCAACCATTAATTGTAGTAATTTTTGCTGAAACGGTACTATTACTTGACAGGATAAAACATATCATAATTTTTTTACAAACCTTGAGCTGAATCTCAAATTTTTCCCTCAACAAACCTCAACTTAATTTATATGAACTTAAAGCTTATTAAAAGAAGAAGTTTTTGTAAAAGTGAGGAAACTGTAGTCTAGCTGGATGATAAAAAAAAAAAATTGGCGAATAATTTATGATTTTTCTAAAAAAAGAACTTAGCTTAGTTTAGCCGTTCAAAAGTCCTCTGTAAATGGATTTAACAATGATAAACTCTATGTTCATTTAAAGGAAATTTCATCTTGTTTACAATGAAGCTATTATTAATTAATTAAATTAAATATTTCTATAGTTGTTGCTTTCGTTTTAATAAAAAACACGACTTGCTTAAAAAAACACAATACTTGGATTTTCTACTTTTTTGCTTCAAATTTGTTCGTTGTTTATACGAACTTTTTGGTAGCTCTTGAAGTCTGCTATCACTCCTAAAAACATTTACCTCTACTTACGAAACACCTTGTATACCTATATATGTGTATGTATATATATATATATATATATATATATATATATATATATATATATATATATATATATATATATATATATATGAAATTATTAAACAAGAATAACATCTTTAAATATAATATACTTCTATTCTAAACATAATCGTCTTAGTGATATTATTACCCCTAAAGCCTTTTGATACTTTCAAAGCAACTTCGGCTGAAATAACTCAGAGAATGACAAATCCATCCCAAGGTTTCCAAGGCTTAAGAAATAAGTCGATGTTTATCTTTTTCATACACAATTGGATGTTTTCCCTTAGCCTTCAAACCGCAAAAAAAAAAAAAAAAAAAGCCGAAGAAAAATAGATTCGTCCATTGGGAAACGATCCGATAACCGCAGAATTGTTCCTAGATGGTGATTACAGTCCGGCCTCTTCGAAGAATCCTGATAAATAATTATCGGTAGAAGGGTTGGACATTTCTCCAACATTCCGAAAAAATCGAATATATACATTATTTAAAGAGTTCTATTGTTCATTGTTGTTTCTATAGTAACCTCTCTTATCATATTATATTTTACCTACTATACCAGTACCTATATTTATTTATGAATAAATAAATAGGTCTAATTTGGACTTGGTATATGCTTTTATTAATTAGTCAAGCAATATTTATATCGTTGGTTTATTGCAAAATGTCATTAAGGGACATTTCATAACCTTAAGTAATTATGAACTTTGAATTATTTTTCCTTTATAAAATAAGTAAATTGTGCTGTTATTGTAACTATATTTGATGTATAAAAGGGTTTGATTGGTTTGATTTATTTTATACCCTTACAGTATTTTTGTTGTGATAAAAAAAGTCGAAATTTATAAAAACATTTTTAAAAGCTAGCCTATATCAAAAATGCACTTAGTGATTTTTTGCTATCTCTCTAACCGCTCCTTTCGAGTTCGCTGTGGAACAGAGTTTTCCAATATCTATCCCGTTAATGCCGGTGTTCCCAGCGTCTTTTGTACCGTGCTTCACATCCTCTTTACTGCTGACATCCCTGTCCACCCCGATACCTTCCTTGCAATATTCGCTGACGACACCACAATCTTATCATCCAACTCAAATCCTGAAATAGCATCCTTAAATCTCCAAAGGCACATCTCCCTGATTGAGCACTGGTGTAATAACTGGCGCATTAAAGTTAATGAATCCAAATGCCAACATATTATCTTTTCACTCCGACGCAGTTCCTGTCCACCAGTACACTTTAGTTCCGTCTCGCTTCCTGTCTCAGACACAGTCCGGTAACTTGGCTTTCATTTAGATCGAAGGCTAACATGGAACCCACATACTAGACTCAAAAGACAAGAACTCAACCGACGATACGGCCAGCTATACAGACTACTAAACTGAAAATCTAAACTTTCTATTGAAAACAAATTACTTATCTACAAGATAATTCTGATACCTATATGGACATGCGGACTAGAACTTTCAATATAATGTCCTTTGAACAATAGTTGATGCTCCATTCTCTGTAACTAACAAAACCCTACACCATGACCTTAATATTCCATTTGTCTTAGACCTTATCCCAGAAAATTCTCCAAATTTCACTAGAACCTTACCTATCATCCAAATCTCCTGGCACAATCCCTATCCAGCACCACCCGTCCTTACAATCCTCCTCGAAGGTTGACGCGCCAATGGCAATATTTTTTTTATAAATAGATCTTTAAGGAGCACTTATAAAAAAAAGTCACTTATTGAAAAATTATAAAAAATAATTATGAGTTCATGTCCCGGTGCTGGGGGAGCTTTTAATCATTAATCCATCGCTCTCACCCCCTGACTCGGGAATACCCCGTATAGCCTAAACAAGTGAGACAGCTGAGGAAAAACAAATTAATTAACAATTTTCAAAAGAATGTTAAACATCATAGATTAATGTATGGGAGCACATTTTCATATATGAGCTCGATTCTTTTATCACTCTAAATATTATATATTTTACTGGTAGCACCCAGAATGTACAGTGTGCTACTTGGGGTTCGGGACTTCGCATACCCTCCTGTGTCAGGGCGAGGTGCGATGTGCAAAGCCCCGTGAACTTTTAGTAACTGAAGGAAAGACTAAGGAAAGTTGCGTTGGGTAAGAAGAAGGATAATTGGGCCACCGCGGCCGACTGTGGAATCGATCCGAGACAGATGGGGACCAGTGGTCACT